CGCAGGCAGCAGCTTCAAGCGGAGCGGGCGGAGGAAGGCATGGGCAGTCGCGGACCCCAGCCACAAGAAGACAATCGGGAAGCCCGCAGGCAGCAGCTTCAAGCAGAGCGAGCGGAGGAGGGCATGGGCAGTCGCGGTCCCAAGCCGATCGCCACCGAAGTCCAGCACCCGTTCCCGGACGAAGATGTGCTCACATCGGAGAAGGCGCAGGCCAACTACCTGGCGTTCACACGGAGCTGGGGCCGATTTGGCCTGTCGAGGGTGTGCGATGCGTGCCACACCTTCACAACCGGAAAATATTGCAGGCCAGCAAAACAGACAGGCAAGATGCTCTGCAAGAACTGCCGCGAGAAGACCCCCAAGATCATCTTGCCAGGTTCTTCTCGACAAGCTCCCGGCCGGCGGCCCAAGCGCACAGTGGGGTCGCATGTACGCTGTGCTCATGGAGGATCCGCTCATTTGCGATGTCTTGGAAGGAGCTGCTCTCGAGGACGATGGCACCATCTTCGTAGAAGGGGCCCAGGGCATGACGCCTTCGCCAGCTCGTTTGGACGCAGTGCACAGAGCTTTGCAAGAGTTGAAGGCACAATATCGCCTCTACAAAGCGAACCCAGCGGTGGACAACATCCTTGCGAGAATGGCAGCCATTCAAAACCAGGAAGCCCCCCAAGGGCGCCAAACGGGGGAGTCCGGTGGCTCAGACTCCTCGGCCTTGGGGGTCCAAGTGCTGCAATCACCTCACGAGGAAGGGGAAGGGGAGCTGGAGGTCGAATATTTGATTCCGAAGGAGTTCAGAGTCCCCAAACCCGAGACCCTGGAACTGCAGAAGGCCCGGGGCATTTCAGCGCTCAGCGACGACATGGACACAAAGTTCTTCCCGCACTTGTTTCCTACCGGTACGGGCGGGTGGCAAAACCACTATAGCAGTTTCTCACAATATTCCCGCAAGCGTCTTTTGGGCCTGGACCCGCGCTTTGAGTCGTCGGCGCCGTACATCATGTGGCTTTTAGAGATGCACACAAAGAAGCGGCTTTCGGGCAACATCAACGTGCGCATCAGCAGCCAGCAGGCCCCGCAAGGAAAGACCAGGTACCACGACGGCAAGAGTCAGGTGTTCACGGCCCTCAGGGACATCCCCGGAACCCATCCCTACGTCTATGCGAAGAAAGGAGTTGCCCTGAACATGTACGAGCAGCTCGGCGCCCCCAAGTTCTTCTTGACTCTGTCTTGCAACGCAAGGCAGTCGGATATACTCATTGCTGTCATATCAGCGCGCCTTCTGCGGCTGCGGCCCACCAGCCCTCCGGAAGAGATCGAATGTGATGCGGCTGAAATCTTGCAGCGCTACCAGTCGGACCAGCACTTCAGGTGGGATGGGCTCTCGCCCAACCAGCTCTGTAATCAGCACCCGGCCATTGTATCAAGACAGTTCATGCACCAAGTGAGCCAGCTCATATGGTGGTTGGGCGCCAAGCGTGATACGCCTTCGCATCTGGACCAAAACGGCGATGCCCAGGATGAGCCAGAGGAGCAGAGCGAAGACTTCCTCCAGGCCCCGGCCACAGACAGCGCAGGCCGACACCGCGGCGTTCGCAAGGAGCATCCTCCCTTCAGGGTCCTCGAGTACATCATCCGGATCGAGTGGCAAAAGAGAGGCTACCCGCACGCTCCCATCTTGCTTTGGGTGGAGGAGTGGGAGACGAAAGAACGAGGCGGTCCAAAAGACGCAGAGAAGGCCAAGGAGCAGGAAGCGCCAGCAAGCATCCCCAAACATGAAAAGAGGGCCAAGCCGGCGGAGAAAGCACCAGACCCAGACTGGTTGGATGAGGAGGCCATGAAGGAGTTCGTTCCCAAATCTGTAGAAGACTGGAGCGACAAATATATCTGCACCAAATCGCCTTATTCATGGCGGGCGTCGGCCAAGATCTCGCCACGTGACAGAGAGGTCAACGCGTAGCTGGCTAGCCTGGTGGTGCACCACTGCACCAAGTATTGCTGCGTCAAAACGCACGGCGCCTGCCGCTTCGGGTTTCCCCGCAGTGTGATTGACAGGACAAGGCGCCGCACCTCGCAGGAGAAGTACGCCAACAGCCAGTGGAAAAGTAGCCTGGTCCCCCGGCGCAAGACAAAGGCGGACGAAAACATGGGCCAGTATAACATCACCATCCTGCGGCGCTGGCGGGCGAGCATGGAGCTACAAGTTATCTGTGAGCTGACCAGCGCCAGCCGCTGCATCCTTGGCTATGCCATGAAATCTGAGCATGACAGGGAGTCCCAGCGCCGCGTAGAAAGCATCATCGCCAACCTCACCTCCGGCAACAACGAAGGCATGGGCAACCAGCAGGTGTACAAGGCAGCGCACGCGGCACTCCAGGGCAGAATTACATCGACTTTTGAAGCCTGCCACCTGCTCCTGGGCTTCCCGGTCGTCGAGTTCTCCAGGGACAACCAGTGGATCCAAGTAGGATCTCCCGCATCGTGGACTTTATCTGTTCCCAACTACGAGGAAGGCATGGCCCTTGGGCAGCCCGAGGTCTACCGCAACAAGAGACTGAAGCAGGACGGGTACATGCCCGTGGCGCAGAAATGATATCGAGAGATGCAAAGGGCCTTCGGCCATCAGGAAGAAGAAGTGCCGGTGGAGGGCGGCCAGCCTATCAAATGTCGGTTCGGGGACATGATTTTCCTGGACTTCTGCGCGGCCTTCAAGTTCATCGGGGTAGACTTCCCGCAGCCACGGAGACGGCCTGCCATCGTTGCCTACCGCAACTTCAGCCCCGACCAGGAGCCTGAGGAGTTTTACTTTTCAAGGCTGCTGCTGTACTCGGTGTGGAGGGAGCCAGGCGATTGGTTGCAGGAGGCGGATGGTGGAAGTCACGCAGCAGCCTTCCGGCGCATTGCCCAGGACGTGGACGGCCACCCCAACTTTCTGCAATCTCGCTGCTTTCCTCGAATGGATGGGACTCTGGAAGCCGCGCGAAAGCTGCAGGCCGTGCAGGCGACCATGTACATGAAGGCTAAGATCCATCCAGCCTCCGGGACGGGTGGGCCAACAGCAAGGTGGCCCAAGAGAATTACGAAGACTCCATGAAAATCCTGGAGGCATTTGAAGGAGCGGCATGGCGACGAGATAGATTTCATGGCCCCAGACCACGTGCCGACGGGAGCGAGCGGCCGGCGATGCTTTTGCGCCAGTGGAAGGCGGGAAGGAATGCTTTGAGATGCTGACCGTGGAGGACCCCAGCCCCGAAACACAGCACCAACGCCGAGCCATGGAATACATCATCCAGACGGTCCTGAACCGGCCCAGCACCAAGGATGCCCACAACGCAGAGCGGCTGAACATGCTTCTTCACGGGCCCGGTGGTTGCGGAAAGTCGGTGGTGGTTCGCGGAGCAGCACACATGCTCCGACAGGGCGGAATAGGAGCAATCATCGCAGCACCTACAGGAGTCGCAGCATGGAACATCAACGGCGTCACCCTCCATTCCTATTGCCTACTACCAGTCGTGAACCAGAGCTACGGGAAGGCATGCGATGTATCTCTACCGAGACGAGCGGCCCCTTGTTGGAGACCTTGCGCAGCATCTGGAATTTGGTGTCTGTCCTGTTCGTGGATGAAATGAGCTTCATCTCCTCCTTCATGCTGGAGCGGCTCGATCAGCACCTCCGCCTGGCCCGCGACATGCCCTGCGTTCCCTTCGGAGGACTCCATGTCATCTTTGCAGGGGACCTCTACCAGCTGCCGCCACCTGGAGGTCTACTGGCCTTTGCAAGTCAGCTATGGCTACTCTTCCAGTTCTGCGAGCTTGAGGGGAACCAGCGCGCGGCAAAAGATCCCGAATGGGCAGCAATTCTGGCAAGGATTCGGGTTGGGAAGCGGACGGAGGAGGATATTCAGAGGCTGCGAGGCATGAAGTCCATCAGCAACAAGCAGCCCGCCCCCAAGGCAGTACATCTCTATCCCACGCGGAGAGCCGTGGCAGAAAGCAATCGTTTATACATCGAAGATCACATCAATAGGACTGGCGCGACGCTTTACGAAAGCCCTGCCTTGGATATCAACGTCAAGACGGGTGCCCCACTGACCCCGGAACTGGTTTGGGCCGACCCCGAGAACACAGGTGGCCTGGAGGCGTTATTTCGAGAGGCCATCGGCGCCCGGGTCATGCTCCGACACAACCTCGATATCCAGGATGGCCTGGTCAACGGCGCCTGTGGTTTCGTGGAGGACGCGGACGAGGACACGGGTGAGATCGAGCGGATTTGGGTGGATTTCGAAAGGGACGCAGGCACCAAGTGGTATGCAGAGAACGAGACTAGTTTCGTTGCAATCACCCGCCGATCAGCCACGTACCTGGACACAGAGGGCAGCAAGGCCTCGAGACTGCAGTTGCCCATGGTGCTCGCGAAGGCCGCCACCATTCACAAGAGCCAGGCGGCTATCTTACATGACGGAGCCCACTGCCGTCTGGATGCCACTTGCAAAGAAGAGGGTCAAGCCTATGTGGCTCTCAGCCGCTGCCCATCACAGGCCCTGTGCACCTTGGAGTTCTTCAACCCAAAGTCGCTGCGGTTCAATGCAAATGCAGAATGGGCACTGACCAAGCTGAAGGCCCAGCAGGCCGGACGAGATGGCTCCCACCTATGGCAACAACTCTTCCGTCCGGCCGCAAGCAAGGAGTACTACGAGGCACGGCTGGCCGAGATCGGCAACCCAGACTGGTCGAAGCTGAAGAAGGACAAGGACGAGGAGCAGCAGGGCGAACGACCCTGGCACTGTTCCCGTTGCGGTGAGGAAGTCCCCAACACCCAGGCTGCCATTAAGGCGCACAGGCGCAAGTGCCCGGCCAAGCCCAAAGCCAAAGCAAAGGGTAAGAGCAAAGCCAGCAACAAGGCCAACTCCGCAACCAAGCCAGCCGATGTGCAACTGCGGATTTGAGCCGATGTGCAACTGCGGATTTATGATGGTTTGCTGATGCAGAGGCATGGTTACGCCCAATCGGCTGGTCTAACAATATCAAAGCAATGCGCCGAACCGACTTCTTTTTCCCGAAAGGGGCGACCATTTTTGGGAAGCTGCGTTGCTATGAGCTTTGCTGTCCCGGGGCTCGGTCTGTACAAATGAGCTCCTTCAAATCAAGCTCATAGCATAGGTGGGGTGAGACAAGAGGATCTCTTCTAGCTGTCCGGCTGTCAGGTCCCGGGGATACGCTTCCATAGAATCCAGGTAGACGAAGTTCTCTTCGAAGCGTTTCAATGCTACCCAATGTCTGCCATGGAGATTGATCATGGCGCCCACGCTGCCACTCAGATCCCTGACCGTCATGGCCCGGCGATCCGCCAGCTCCCAGACAACTGCTCCCAGACAACTTGCCCATAGACTTCCATAGCTTTGGTGCGGAGGACCATGTCCATGACCTCGATGGAGTAGTCGCCGGCAGGGGCCAGGTGGTCCTGGATGTTGTCGGCCAGCTCACGGTTCTCAAAGATAAAGGCGTCAGCCGCGCGAGCCATATCTTCCGGGCTCAGCAAGTGAAAGCCGAGCATGTTATTCAGCGCGTGAATGCCACACCGAAGCTCCACCTGGTGCTCGAAATAGGGTGCATCTGCGTGGGCCTCGGGCAATTCTGGCTGGTTGCTGGCCGCCATGCTGCGTTCTGGGCTCTTCGTCTCCACCTCGTGCTCGAAGTGGTGCGCATCTGCGTGGGCCTCGGGCAGCTGGTTGCTGGCCGCCGTGCTGCGTTCTGGGCTCTTTGTCTTGGCCAGCTTGGGAGGAGGTGCGCTACTCGGGGGTTCGGCTGCAGAGCGCTTTCTCAGAACGGCGGCGGTAAGAAGTGGCCTGCGCTTGGCGGCGGCTTCTGCCTTCAAATCACTGCCTTCAATCTAGGCCAGGCCTCAGCCAGTCTGCGAAAAGGCCCGAAGCCCAGAAGAGGTTGGGAAGAGGTCCAGAAGCTTAAGGCACGAAAGAGGCCCCAGGCCCAGAAAAGGCTGGGAAGAGGCCCAGAAGCCCAGAAAAAGCCCGAAAAGACCCGACATAGCTTCCTGAGGGCCCGGCAGAGGAGGCCGCCAAGAGGCCCCCAAAAGCCCTTGTTTTGCGTAAGTTTTTCAGACAGGCTTGCAAAAAGGCTGAAAAAGCACCTGTTTTGAGCAAATGATGTTTCACCAGTGAAGTCGCCGCTTCTAGCCGCACCAACACAGGCGAGTGCTTGTGCCATGAAAAGTACCTCGCACTGCTAGCACTGCTAGGGCACTGTCCCCACTGGACGCATCATGTCAAGCGCGCAGACTCGACTCTTGAAAGGACGTGTGTGTCTGGATGCCTCCCGCAGCTTTTTTCGTGAGTGCTCAAAGGGGTCGTGAAGGCTTACGGCAGTAGAACGTGAAGA